GATGGGAAAACAAATTGATTGTGCCGATAAACAAGCTTGAAAATCTTTGCTGTTACTTCATGGACGTTTTCTAGGAGTTTATGTTTTTCAAAATACAAGGTCTTTAACAAACAATAACGTATACTTATTGTCGTCGGATTAACACCAAATTTTCACAGCTTTAAGGTGACAGTGAGAGGAACTTGAATGTGTCCAGACAAACTATTTCATCGATTATTTACCAACGAGTTGTGGTTTGAGTTGGGGGCAATGCGACTAAAACAGTAATTGAAATTCAGCACACTATTTTTTAAAATGCATTGCTTGCATAAAACTGACCAGACACATTCAATTTACCAGACTATTGAACAACTAGGAAAAGTGAAAAAAATACTTCTTATCGCCAGCATAAATGAGTAATTATTTTTTTTACAGAAAAAGTAATTTTTCACCTTTGATTAAGTAACGGGTCATAGTATGCAGATACAGGCATGGCAAATACACCTTTGCAAAGCTTGAAGTCTGGCGATTCTAAAAATATATACTTTCCTGGGTCTATTTGTAGTCATTTGGTCACAATTAGAAGATGAAAACAAGTAAGCAAATAATAGTCCCGCTACCTTAATGGGATGCCTTGTTTACTCATTTTCCACAGAAAACTTTTAACATCAAAATTATGTATTATATAGATTAGTTTTGTTGAGCAAGCATTGAAGCAATGAAGCATGGCAGTATTTTAGATTGACCAGATGCTTCACAGAGTCACAAAATCTATCTGGATCCAAAGTGGGTATGAACACCTCATTTTTTTGTAATCTCATTTCTGATCCAATTTATTTTATATGTTAAAGCCAATATGATTTTAATTGAGTAAGCATATTAACTTCATATAATATGTATAAAATAACTGACATTCATCAGGGAAAAGATTCTTGAATTCTTCAACATGTTAAATTATAAGATGTAACTTTTACCACAACTTTATCAACTCAACAAGTCACTAAAATTACGTCCGATGACATTATGTCATAAATGTTTCTGCAATAAGCCATATCACAATTTCAATTATAATGCAGGTCAGATTGCACAAGCTGATATACACTGTGTTTAGTGGAGCGGTGTTCAATTCGGTCAAAACTATCCCATAATTCACAATGATTTAGAATTTCAATATAGTCTATTGGTTGGATGTTAACTTACTTTAAATCTACATATCCAAAATAGCAACATTTTAACAGTCTGTGATTCACAGTTACCTTAACATCACAGAGAACATTTTATTAAAAACCCAAATCCTATTACTCTGTTACAATTTCACTCACGTGATGGTGTTCTGGTGTACAGTTGTTTGTTCTTCATTAGCTTCAGTGGTAGCTCTCTTATCCAAAGTTTGAAACATTCTCATAGCACTGAAAATAAGACAATAGGAATGGAATCAATTCAGATTTACATAATAATAGAAAAAAATTACATAAATATAGTAAAAAGAAACATCCAATAATATTCATACCTGACATTTCCTTTTTGCTGCTGACCAGCTTTAACATCTAGCTTGGATGAAAATGATAGACGACCTTGATCATCATGTGAGAACAGTGAGGGACTACAGTCATAACCCTATAAGATATAAGATGATTAATAATCATACATTTCTGGGTTGCAATTCAGCAAGGGAAGCAACTATACACAACTACATCACACCATGCTCTCCTAGAAAAAAAATGCAAGAGGGAGCACTGCAATTCAGTGGTGCCACCAAGTGGGGGAGATAGGGTTCTCCCTACCAGGGTATGGAGTTTTTGATAATTCTAAGTTAAAATGGAGCATTCTATGGCTTCCTTGGGGTCTAAATTACTATCAGACAGGTCACAGTTGAAGACTGTGGCCACATGTGATCCCTGGTCAATCAGAATTTTATGGTTGCCAGAGGATCTGCTACCCAGGGTAATCGGGAGCATGGCCATGGCATACGGGCGCTGCATCCCTGTTCCCTTGTTCAAAAAAATCCCTGCTGCTAAAAGAACTTTGATTATATAATGATGGTTACTAACTCACCACAACTACCAGACTGTTGTTAGTAACCCACAGACAGTCCATGAAAGGCAAGAACTCAGTCTTCACTGACACTACGGCCATGCCCTGAGCAGCTGAGGCTACATGTACCGAACTGTCGTGGCTCACCCAGGCCAGTTTGTCACCAGATTCAGTAAAACTAACTCCATGTACCCAGCCACCTGTAAAAGAAACACAATCACATACATAGAATGCTTGCATGAAATGTGTGTTCACTAACATGCTTAGAAGTCACAATTTATATATTCCGGGTCACATTCGGCAAAGCGCCCACCCCTTCAAAATGCAACTAATTTAAAACTTGGTTTTTGATAATTGCGTAATGAATCTTGGTAATTGTTTTTATATGATACAGCGTGGATATCGACCGGTGTGAATATGTTGTGAATGCGTAGACCACGGTAACCATGCGTAAACTACGCTTTGACAATGACCTGTTAATACAAGTAAAATGCGGCAAATATTTCATGCCATATTCAGTTTATCTCTTAATCAAAGAAAGCTTAGAAAGAACTCCCGTGTGCTGAGAGTATTGGAGACACATTCAAAATTAATTCAAAATTATTTGAACTTGAGATGTTGATGGAAACGCAGAAAACTAATTATGCAAATTAGGTAACTAATATGAACAGATTTAAGTGTAAGGTCTGCACAATGTTTCATTGAAATGTGATTAGAACCAAAATAATATTAATTATTATGCTAATTAGAGAATTAATATGAACAGATTTTAACCCAAAATTAAGCAGACTGTCTATTGTCCTAGAGCACTTATGTACCAAGTTTTATTCAAATGTGATGATCAATACTTGAGATATCAGTATTAATTAATTATATTAATTAGGTGATTAAGAAGCATAAATATTTACCAAAAACTAATATGGTGTATAGTCCTAGATTCATTGAAATGTGATGGGTACTCTTTAAAAGTTTCATTGAAATCCAATGAGTGGCTTTTAGACATCAGTGCAACAGCCATAGAACAGCAAAAAATTAACTAATTATGCAAATTAGGTAATTAATAGGCACAATTATTTATCCCAAAATTAATCAGGTCTCTGCAGTCCTAGAATATCTATGTAACAAGTCTCAATGAAATGTGATGATTAATACTTGAGATATCAGGTGAAAAGCTGAAAATTAACTAATTATGCTAATAAGGTGATTAATATGCACAAATATTTGCCCAAAAACTAATTCGGTCTCTGCACAGTCCTCAAGTAACTATGTACCAAGTTTCATTGAAACATGATCATTACTACTTG